GAAATACGGTAGCTTGATATGCACTTCCCATACTAATGTGAAAATCAATGGGACTTAAAGGGCCACATCTAATTATGATTAGATCAAAATACATCCCACCGTGTGACCTGATCTAATAAGTCAACTTTCTTGGAACCTATGGAAGGCAACAGTGAACAAAAAATACTTCTTCAAAATATGCATAACATAGCCTTGCTTGGCCACTATAACCTTCTAACACAAAACATAACACCCACTTAATATATCAGGTATAAAACCCAATTAGGCAAAACCAACTGGTAGTCACAATTAAGACTTAATGAACCACTGGGATTTGTATAATAAGTGTAGAGCAATTTGTTCAATGGGTCTTCTTGAGTTGGAACTAGCAACTGGATTTAAGCAATTGATGCCAGCAGACACTTCCCCTGCCTTCAAATAGTAGATGCAGCTACCCCTTGTTATGACTGGGAGAATAGTGTATGGGTAACTACCTCCCACATAATATCCCCAAGACAGTTTGCCTCACACATACATACTGGCAGATTGAGGGTGGTGGTGTTTTGTTTTGTTTTAACTTTGCACTGCAATGCTAACTACACAGCAGGGATCAATGACTAATTTGGCTCTAGGATGCCTCATCTTATGACTCCCCACCTCAGCAGTCATGCTGTTGGTTGCAAAGAGACAAAAGATGCATACCACTTACAAATACCAGTATGGACAATACATAAGCATGGAACTGTCTTGCTCAAACTACTCGTTGGATTGTAGGTTACAATGACAACATCTGGAGGGCCACAAGTTGCTCATTCCTACTTCAAAAAGGCTGAGTAGTTTAACAGGCCAACTTCAGAAAGCACTGTTCAGAGCTGACTTGTTTAGAAACTAATCAGAGTTTGTTATAAACCACTATCCCTCAACTAGGCCAATGCTACTCAAAGGGATGGACCATAGTCGATGGGTCTGAGGAGACAGTAGCTCTCCAGATGGTTTGGACAGAGCTCTAGTATATTCTCCTGAATTTCAACAGAGAAGTACCCTACTGCAAATCTCAGGATTCTGCAGGACGGAACCATGGCAGTTAAAATAGTATCAAAGGAATTTAATTTTGTAGTGTAAATTAGTGCTATTCAAAGTGGTAATCTACAAACTGGTGTTGGTCCACAAACCCTCAGCTGCTGATCCCTGGAGATTTTCCACGAAATAAAGGAACAACTGTAGCCAGTGGACACAAAAATAGTGCTGCTCCCTTGTATGTTGGAGGGAAATTGTCAGTCCCCATATTTGATAGCTTAAGAAACACTGGTCTAGACTGAGATACAAGGGGAGGGAGATGTTGATGAAGAGAAGATAGAAAAGTTCATGATTCCAAGGCTTGCTCAAAGGCTCATTCCTGATCACGCACATCTCACCGAACACAGGAACGGGTAGAAGGCAGATTGAGCCTATTGGAAAATTAAATTTGCATACTTGAAGGACAGCTTTGTTTTAGGACTGCCATAAACTGGAAAAGACTTCAAGGCTCACAACAATAACAAATACTTGCAAGCTTGGATACTTGGATAACAGCAAAGAGAATGCAAAATACAATACAAAAAACAAGAAAGAAAAACTTTAAAACTATATTCATTTTAAAATCATATTTGACATTCCCAAACATAAAAATGAATGATCGATTCACTGGGATTTAAGAGATAACAGCCAGACTGAGACATTGTGTGAGTCTCCATGTCATTTGCTGCAAATCAACAAGGATTTCTGGTTCTGATTCAGCAACAGGGACAATATAAAGTTCTTTTCCTCCCTGAAATTAGACTGCAGAAATTAACAATGGTTGGCAAGGAGCAGAAGTAGGAGTAGATGTGGTGGTGGTGGTTGTGTACTTTTGAGTTGTTTCTGACTTATGTGAACCTATCATAGGGTCTTCTGGGGCTAAGAGAGAGTGCTTCACCCAAGGTCACCCAGTGGGTTTCCATGATTGAGCATGGAATTGAACCCTGATCTCTAGAGTCACTGTCCAGTGCTCAAACCACTGTGCCACACTGGTCCTCAGATCTGTGCATGAAAGGATTTCTGCATGAGCTCTTGTCCCATTGCAGGGGTTTTGAACCCAGTTCCTGGACTGAACAATTGCTGAGAATGGCTTTGGTCTTCCCTTCCTTTGCTGGTTGTTTGCATCTTGCTCTAGGTGGGATATCTTGGACAAAGGTTGAAGAAATTTCCTTATCTGAAGGATAGGAATTAAATCTCCCACAATCCAACCCAGCATGTGTGGCCAGGTTCTCTGCAGCTTCTTATTTCACACTAGACACAGTCCTGCATTTCTCATACTCATTGCAATGATGGTCCTGATTTTACCTTTAAATATGTTGTTAACATACATATGTATGGTACTACTTTTCAAGATTCAGACTCTTCCTCTGGAAGTTAAATCTCTGAAGATCCAGGCAGATGCAAATTTGAAAGTGGTAACACAAAGATGCCATGTAATTTATACAGTCTACCACTGGATTAGGACATGGGATTGGTTTCCAGATTAGGACCTACTAAACTGGCTGGTTGAAAACCCATATCATTCAACTCATGCTTAACATATGTTTCAGGGATTTCAATGGCTTTAAGTATGATTAAAAGCACAATCCTAAGTATGTCTAAAACTAAAATGGCCAAGGGCTTGCTGAGTTGACACCAGGTTAGTTTAGGCTGGGCTGAATCCAAATCCCTCTCAACCTAGGGATGCTGCAAATTAATACTTAAGAGTGAGCTACTGAAATCAATGAGATTTATGTTAAGCATGACTTGAGTCTCATGGATTTTCTGTCTAAGTAGGACTAAATCAGGAAAACAATCCCATGACCTGGTCTGATAGCAGACTATGCACCAACCACATTACACCTCGATATTAACCAAGTCCAACTCGATGCTGGTATTTTGGCATTTCAACTCTGCCATCAACCCTGCCCCAAGCTTCTCTTCTCTCTGTGTGTCAGCTGCTAGCAGACCATCCCTACCAGCAAAGGGGTTTAAGATTCAGGCTGATCCTCCACATCCAACACATCTATGAGTGACAACTGCACTGTAAATCTGAAATGAATCCTATGCGCTTTCACACAAGAATGGACATGTTAAAAATATGCTAGGATACCTCTGTCTTTAATTACAAAACAACGGATGATCCTTATGAACTGCTGTTGACTTGGGACACTAGACCAAGAAGCCCAGAAGGAACGACTATACAACAGAACATCTTAGCACCAAATACCACCAGTTAATTTCAACATTTTGTGGCCGGAAAACCCTCTTGCTCGCTGATAGAACTGATACAGTACTTTGCATATAGCAGAGCTTGGAAGTAACAAGTTGCAACTAAGATAAATGCCTATAAAAAGTTACTGTTAAAAAAGCAAGGGTATAATAATATTCAGGGGTAGCTGTGTTGGCCATGAAACAAACTCCAGCAAAATACAAAATCCACAAAAGAAAATGGCCAAACAAAATGCACAAAATACATCATGCAAATTTCAAATTGTCATTGTCTGCCTCATCAACAACAACAAAAATAAATTTTAAAATTACCTGATGAAGAGGCCAGTGGAGCTTTGCTTGTCTGATTTATCTTCTGCATTTCAGAAGGGCTTAATAATGTTACATTTTCAAAGTAACACAATGAGTAAAGTTACTCTACTGATGTAAACAAGTAACAGTTTCTAGCTACTTTTAAAAGTTACTTTTTAAAGACCTCTTTAAGAAGCATTTTTACAGGAATGTTTAGTTTTGTGCCATTCTCTTGTGAAATCTAAAAGCCCAAATCCAATGGCTAACACCCTCAACTAGAGTAGACCTATGAAACAATGCACATAAGTGTTTACATGCCATATTCCCACTGATTCAATTGGTCTACTTGGCTTGTGGCTTGGAACAAATTCTACTGGATTTTGGACAAATAAAAAGTAGCAAGCAGCATAACAAGTACTGCAACACATTAGTTTTTTAAAAAAACCCACTGCAAAATGCAATTACAACTTTTAAAAAACATAATAAGAGGAGTTACTTGACGAAAAGTACTTTTCCAAGCTTCGGCATGCAGAAGGTCCTAGGCTCAAATCTTGGCGTAAAAGGATCAGACAACAAGTGATTAAAAGAACCTCACTCTGCCCATCACTCTGGAGAGCAGCTGCCAGTCAGAGAAGACAAGACTAAATTGCCTGGAGGAATGGTTCCATCTGCTACAAGGCAGTGTATTTTGTTCACTTTGTAATCTGCAAATTCTCGGAGCAGGACTGTAAAATGTGACAGTGATGCCTAAAGTTTGACAGACCTTTTGCTTTTATATATTGCCTCTCTTCCCCCATGGAAGCAGAACTATTCCTTCTGCTCAGCATCATCATTTCAATCATGGGATGGAAAAGGGGAGAAAGAGGCCAGGGAATTGGAAGCAATTAAGCAAAGATCTTCTTTATCATAGCCAAGTAACCAGGCAGCCGGAAAGAAAAGCTATAGTCCTCCCAGCAAAAAAGAGAACCAGAAAGAATTCTGTTTTCCAGACAGCAGCTGGTACACAGCGTTATTTAGAATAATCTATTTGGAAATGATTTCATGGGGCCATTTAGACTCACCCTGCATCTTGGTACTCAGGAATATGGCATAGCAAAATTGTGCATCAAGAAATGCTGCAGTCTAAACCCTTTAACAAAGCATGCAAAACAGCACATTTGCTTACATTTACACTTTTCCTCATCACAGTTTATTATCAAAGAAAAGAAGCAATTGTCATGCTGACGGCTGACAGGCTCCACAAGTCACGAAAAGTTCTATTTCGAGACTATACCTCCTTCAAACAGCACAGTGAATGATGTAGTCCAAAAGAGTAAAGCTTGCTATCCCACTGCCTTATGTCTCTAAGAAACTACTAGACCTTGCTTGTTCAAATTTATTGTGATAGTCATAAGAGCTAGAAACTTGAAATGTAACATTTAATAAGTAAGCAAGAGTGAGAAAAAAAGCTGAAAGATATCAAACTTTGAATCTGCATGATGAGATGGGTGGAGGAATTCACATAGGCTTACCTATGTTCAGGGACACTTTTAAAAGCTATGCATAAAGGATATTTATTATATACACTTAATATGTAAAGCATGTATGCAAGAAATCTGTGTTTGCAAACCCATACAGAATGCATATACATATGTATTTTGGAGAATATAGACTGCATATGGTTCACCTAAACAGCACCAAATACTGTAAATATTTGCAACTGTATAATGAATCTTTAAGAGTACCTGCCAAGAATGTATTTTTTACATACTACTGTACAGACTTAGTTAATATAGGGCACAGTCAAAAAGTGTAGGTGACTTAAAAGTGTGCAACACAGCTGTCTGTTTACATCTTACCTTCAAGGATCTTAAACTCTGTGTACTCTGTTCTGCCTTAATTATCACTGTTCTGCCTTAATTATCACTGTTCTGCCTTAATTATCTCCCTTTTTATTGTTGTATACCTTGAAGTTGGTTCCGACTTATGGCAATCCTAAGGTGATCCTATCATGGGGTTTTCTTGACAAGATTTGTTCAGAGAAGTTTTTCCTTTGCCTTCCCCGAAGCTGCGAGTGTTACTTGCTTAAGGCCACCCAATCGGTTTTCACAGCTAAGTGTAGATCCAAACCTTGTTCTCCTGAGCAGTAGTTCAGTGCTCAAACCACTACACCACACTGGCTTGCTTATCTCCTATATCATAGTCCCCTAGTGCTCCCTAAGAAGACAAGCTTAGTGACCTGGTTCCAACAGAAATGGATTCAAAGTGGACCAAGTGAGAAACAGGAGGGAAGCATCAACACTTAGAAGGCAAAAGCACACTTTAAAACTGTCAAAGAATCCTTTGAGAATCCTTCCAGCTTATATTATTTGGAATAGGGGCATGGCAGGCCAGAACCGATAAAAGGAGCACCACTGATAAATGATGGAAAATGCACTGCAACATTTTATTGCAGATTGCAGTTGTAGCCATTAAGTCACAAGGACCAAACAGAGCATGAAATTGTAACTGTTCCATTTCTCTTATGGGGTCATGATCAATGAAACCATGCAACATGTGCATGAGAAAGAGCCACGCCATGTAGCTAAGCTGTTTTTAAATTTTTGATTACAATTCTAGTTCAGCCACTTGCATTGCTGAACAGGCAAGCTATCTTTCAGTATTAAATTGCCACATTTACATTGAGAAGTAGGTTGTCTCTTCAGCATGCAACCATTCAACATGAGACACTTCAACATATACCTTTCAATTTTGGTCATAGTCTCAGGATCACTGGGGACTCCAGACTGAAGTCGGAGGATCACTGTATTTCTAAGATCCTTACTACATATAAGAAGGAAAGAGAGGACATGGAGAATGCATAGAGATGAGATCTAAAACTACCATCCTATTATTGTTGGTGCATGGAATATGCTGCTCACTCCTCATAGTACAGCTTATACCTACTATTTCACACATACCACAGACCAATAGTTCCCAGGGGATGTTCTTTCACAGTTCCTATTCATTTCAATGTGGATTGCAATTGAGGAACTTCTCAAGGAATTGGAACCCAAAATTCAGACAGTTTGCCTTACCCTAAATGTGATCAAAATTCTCTGATGGCAGCTTCTTACCCATGAAATAAAGAGCATAAAAAGAGTCCTACAGACCAGACCAAAGGCCTACAGAGTCCAACCTTCTGTTCCCACAGTGGCCAACCAAACACCCCAATGCAAAGCCCACAGTTGGCACATGAGTGCAACATCACCCTTCCTCTGTTGTTCTTATTCTGTTTCCCATAATGGCCAACCAAATGTCCCAGTTAAAAGCCACAAGCAGCCCACAGCAGCGCATGCTGTTGTTCTCCTCTGCAGAGGTATACATTTTCTCTGCTATTGGACGTAATACGTTAAGTTTTATTCTGCCCTCTCTTTCTCTCCAGAAATGAGACTCAAGATGGCTCATTAAACAAATAAAACAAGTACACAGTCTAAAAATATAGACCAAGCTAAGACAACTACAGAAGCACAT